GGCCGGTGGACGATGCTCCTTTTTGTCACATTTCGCAGCTAGCAAAGCAGTTGGCAGATGTATGTAGCATTCAAATTTTCCCATCCTTTGTCGAAGAGCGAAACGATGCAGTGTTTTACCACACAACGAACAAACGAAACATCGCCGATGGAACACTTTCTGCAACGATTTCTGAGGGAACGAGCCGTAAATGACACTGCAATGAATACTTGTTCTGTATATGTTCTGCATTCGAAATCAAACTAAAACTAGTCAAAACGAAAAATCGAATGCTTTCAGTTAAGAGATTTCGATATTACCGAAATAAAGGGCAAAGCAAGCAACGTATTCTGTCCCGTAAAACCTTGCCCTTGATTATCATCTCCGATTCATACAAGACAAGCCAACTGCTCATGCGTATTCCTGGGAAAGGTCTGAGCAATTGCTCCTATTTTTGTGAGTGCTTCTCTTTCTTGCCGGCAGTGACGGAACAAAAAAGCTATCCCGTAGAAAAAGTATACCTCCAAAAATTAAGTATATAAAAATAGAAACATTCCTAGGCTATTTTTGGGGCGCAAAAGCCAGTGATGCAATCGAGTTCGAGTAGCAAAAAAGGGCAACGTCTACGAAACCCACGGGCTATTAGCACAGCAAATAGTGCATCTTGTTCCGTGAATTTCCACTTTTTCCTGTATGCTTGCAGCGACGTCTTATTCATCACTTATCAGACTATCTATGTGTGCTAAGCATCCTTCGCTCATTGCTCTTTTGCTCACTGGAAGCGCTCGTACTTTCTTCCGCCAGTTCGAACATTTCGCATCCGTATGTCACTGCCTTCCTGCTATCTAGTACAACTGCCTTACCTTGTATTTTGAAGAACGAGATAAATAAACTAGTCGTATTGGCAAAAATTAAACCTTTTGTGCAATTACACGCTCGATAAGAAATGTGCGCTGTGAGCAAACGATACAATTCACGCTCATACGATTACCAGCTTCTTCATTTTCCATTTCGAAACTCAGTTTTGGGGCAACTAATTTTTCCAACGTTTCTGCAAAACCGCCTGTGATGGGAGAAACAAAAACTGGAGTAAGAGTATCATCTATTCCAGAACATTTTTCATTGAGCTAACAAAACAGAGAGAATTTACTGAAAATTAATCTTTTCAAAGCTGCCAGACGAAAATATGCAAAGAAAGGACGATAAAAAGAGTCCAGGCGATAAAAAGAGTCCAAAATGGTGCCATCTCTTAATTTTTGCTTCATCAGCTACAGGAATTTACCATATATTCAGCTACTTGGCATTAAAACTCAGAGATCTTGTGATCCCGCTTAACATTCCACAGTTATTTTTTGCGCCTCATGAGCAAAACTTTGCCTCGCCTATTTAACTTATCAGCCAGTGTGTGCCGTTATTCGATTTTCTACGTTTATCTCTTGCTGCTAAAGAGAAATGGGCTCTTTCTTCGCCTGCATGGATGCCACTGTTAAAGAAAATATCAAAAAAATACTTGGTTCTAAAGCAGTGGAACTTCTGATACAGATAACAGCGGCAAGCAAAGCGAAACGACTGCTCGGCGATGGCGGGAATAAATCGGCTTCTATGACCATCAGCGGAATACCCAGTACTTCTTCGGACATTTCCCGCATCTAAGTGGAAAATTGAATAAATATAAGGAATAAACACCTGTAATTTTCAACCAGTGGACAGAACATCGCATATCCAGACAGTCAAGATTGCCGTGCACCATAACTGGATTGCAGTTCCGCCAAGTCCACCTTCGAATTTCGGAAGTGAAAACGAATCAATGCACAATAAATCCGCAAAACGGCGCAACGGAGAACAGAAAAAAAAACCCACCGAAAAACGTCAAATTTGACCAAACAGACAAAAAGCATGGCCAAATGGGCGTATAATTTAGCAGTGCGACCATAAAATTAGAAATTAATTGAAAAATGATAAACTGACGCAAAAAACTGATAAAATTGCTAGGCCGCCCACTAAAAGTGGTTTAAATTAATACTATTCGAAAAAGTGATAATTTCAGTCAATAACAAATTAACACTTACTGTATTGAATGATACTTCGAATGTGGTCGAATCGTCCAACCCAAACGATTGCTTTCTGGAAGAACAAAAATTCGTGGTAACACAAGAGAATTCTCAAATCGTACTACTGATTCCGGTGTTAAAAGAAAAGCAGTGAATTCAGAAGGGAAAAGAAAATCTTGCTCAAAACAAAAACAGTTCAAAAATCCTTTCAAAAATATCTTCGAAATGCCATTTTTCCATATTTCCGAATTTTCCCATTCACTGGATTTTCATGTGAGCCCTAATGTATTTCTTTTGCCCTGGCGATAATTCTAAAAAGAGAAAAGCAATAGCCCCATCGCATCTTACAAGAGATGAACGTACTGGGAAGTACCCCGGGTGATAGCATCTCACAGACAACAGCTATTCGTTCCCTCTTTCGAAGATTGTTTGAAATAGAATTAAAAAATAGGGTATATTAACAACGGATAAAGGAAGATGAAGAGTAAAAAAGATAGGAGATGAGAATTACAAAATTTGTAAATTATAAGAATTTAATGATGAGAAATGGTTCGTTCCACTAAGTTGTATACATTTCTTACCATTACCACAGTTGTTTGAAAAACGAGCAAGAGGCAGTTCGAGTTCGTTAAATGCAAGGCATGCCACTGCCAATCGCCGGACAAAACGAAACACTCAACTGCAGCGGTCATCTGGCTTTTCCGACGGCAGCAGATAACAAGGCTACTGGCTTGTTTGATTAATCATAGGCGGGATTTATCATCACATCACAGAACTCAGCGTTTCCTTCCCTCCCGCAAGCAAAAAACATTTAAGATGTACTAACCGTTGTGCAAGAGAATCGGCCAGTAATCGGGCCAACAACGTCATCACCGCCCTCCAGTTCCCGTTCATCCATGGTGGCGCCGATGAGGGCAGCAGAATACCCGTATCGTCGAACCACCGGGCAACCGATTTCAGACTCATCGCAACTGCAGCAGCAGCAATACGCGGAGCATCGGCTAAATTGCACAGTGCATGGTGAAGCAACAGAATTATTGTGAAAAAACGAATCGCAAAGTACGCAAAATGTGTCGTATGTCCGAGGTACGAAGTAAAAGCAGGCAGCAACGCGCATCATAGTTCCCGGCGTAATCATGCGTTTCTGCACTAAATTGGAAGCAGTCAGACGGTTAAATGTGTGAATGGTTGTTGCTTTACAGTTTAACATGTTGGCAATGTTTTCGTCTTATCCTGTAAGCACAGGGAAAAGGTCGCTGGCTCGCATGGTGATGTTAAATCATGCGGGCGCGCAAGATCACAACTTCTAGCACGATGGTTACTGTAAATTTCGCAAGAAGGGAAATGCAAAATTTGCCGGCTCATTGAAAATGCAAACTGGACAATGAACAGGGTGTCCACAGAGAGAAGGATGACGAAATCCGAGCAAAATGCACTCGCTTTTGAAAATACGACAGAACTGTACATTTATCATGCTTTTATGTACAAGGAATTTAG